TCTAAGTCAATGCAAGTTCTACCCTATTATTTTCTTCCATCATTATCATGACAACTTCTGAGTGTGCTTTTAGTATGCAAATGACAGGAGTGTTTATAAGGTTGCACAGATCAATGCTATATCAAGATACTGATACCTTCTGAGTTCCAGTGCATGTGGGAGTTTAATTCAGAATTAGGCAGAATAGCATTCACATTTATCTTGCATGTCTAAAACTTAAATGGAGAGAAATTTAATTTTACGCTAGGAATTGTTATGGTTCAGCCTGGGAAGGGTTTGAAGACCAGCGGCAACACGTGCCCTCAACTAGCCCTTGCAGGGCATAATCCCTCTCATGGTTACGAGAAAAGGCCCTTCATATAGCAGATATTGAACTATTGTATGAAGAATTTGATAAATTAAAAGTTCTACTTGAATGATCGATGATTCATTGCTTGACTATAGGAGACTAACTTGCGCACAAGTCGGAGCACAACTCAAACTCTTCACAGACCCATGACTCTATCGAAGTTAATTGGACTCTTCCTAGTCTAAAGACCCATCTAATCCAAATCCAACATGAATACTTCTCTTACTGTCTTCCTAGTCCATGTTGCTGCTGCCGGCTTGTCACATGGCCGCTGCGGAAACCACCCCACATAACAAATGGTACCCTCAAACAACCAAGTTACCAAAGCTCCTTAATTCTGATATCATGTCAGCACATAGTTTTGCCTCAAATCGTATATACCATATGTACCACAGAGGTCCCCACTCCCAACTCTATATGTACTTCGACACTTGTTAGCTACTAACCACAAATTAGTCACAGACACAGAGCCTGCCCTATGCCAGCAATCGAACCTTGCATGCCAAACTAACCTAGGACAGAGAAAAGGCCCTTTATATATCAGATATTGAACTATATCTACATGAGCAATTCAATAAATTATGAATTCTAACTGAATGTTCAATTATCTGTTGCTTGGTTGAAGAGTTACACAACTGCCCTTTATATAGGTGACTGACGCAACCACAAGCTGGAGCACAACTCAAACTCTTCACAGAACCATAACTCTATTTTCCTAATTTAATTGGACTTCACAGAGTTATACAGCATGAATACTTCTCTCAAGACTATCTATAAGCATGCCATATCCTATGCATTAAAGGATGTGCATGTGCAAACATGACGCTGCTATCGCACACATAGGCTAAGTCCATGTTCTTGCTGTTGCTGGTTGCCACACGGCCACTGCGCAACGGCCCCATAACAAATGGTATCCTCAAAAAAAACAGATTACCAAAGCTCCTTCATTCCAACATCATGTCAGCAAAGTTTTGCCTCAAATCTTATCTACTACATGTGCAACTGAGGTCCAAAGTCTATGCGTGCTTCACCAACCGCAAATTAGGCACAGAGACAGAGCATGAAATCTTATCTACTACATGTGCAACCAAGGTCCCAATTCTATGCGTGTTTCACCACTTAACAGTAACTAACCACAAATCAGGCACAGAGACAGAGCGTGACAGCAACTGAACCTTGCACGCCAAACTAAGATAAATAAACATGTAATTAAGAAGCGGAAAGTACCTGAATGGTGGGATAGGTGTTAGCAGCAGCGTTGTCCCCAATCAGCAATGAATCACACTGCGAAGAATTATACGCATTCTCTGCACCTGAATTCATCTGGACCAGCCCACGGTAGCAATTCCTTGACTTTCCTGCTGAGATACCTTTGGATATAATCCGGCTGCGTGAATTCTTCCCCTTATGGATCATCTTTGTCCCTGTATCGGCCTGCTGGTAATCCTTGGTCAGTGCTACCGAGTAGAACTCTCCAACAGTGTCATCCCCAACAAGCTCCACACTTGGGTACTTCCAGGTGATTGCTGACCCTGTCTCAACCTGTGTCCATGAGATTTTCGAGCCACGCCCCTTGCACCGCCCCCTCTTGGTCACAAAATTGTAAATGCCCCCTTTGCCCTCCTCATCACCAGCATACCAATTCTGCACGGTGGAGTACTTAATCTCAGCCCCCTCTTCGCACACAAGCTCCACCACCGCAGCATGGAGCTGGTTGGAGTCATATGCTGGAGCAGTACAACCTTCCAAATAGCTAACCGTGCTCCTCTCATCAGCCACAATCAGAGTTCTCTCAAATTGCCCGGTCTCCTTGTCGTTGATTCTGAAGTAGGTAGATATCTCCATGGGGCAGACCGTGTCCTTGGGCACGTAGCAGAAGGATCCGTCACTGAACACGGCTGAATTGAGCGCAGCATAGTAATTGTCGCCAGGCGGCACGATGCTCCCGATGTAGCGCTTGATGAGGTCCGGGTACTCGCGGATGGCCTCAGAGATGGAGCAAAATATGACGCCCTTGGCCATGAGCGCCTCCCGGTGGGTGGTGGCGATGGAGGTGGAGTCGATGACGGCGTCGACGGCGACGTTGGAGAGGCGCTTCTGCTCGCCGAGAGGGATCCCGAGGCGGTCGAAGGTCTTGAGCAGCTCGGGGTCGACCTCGTCGAGGCTGTTGAGCTTGGGCTTGGTCTTGGGCGCGGAGTAGAAGCAGAGGGACTGGAGGTCGACCGGCGAGTAGACGTTGTCGCTCCAGGTGGGCTCCGCCATGGTGAGGAAGCGGCGGTAGGCGGCGAGGCGGAAGTCGAGCATCCAGGCCGGCTCCGCCTTGAGCTCCGAGATGCGTCGAACGGTGGCCTCGGAGAGGCCCTTGGGGATGGAGAAGGACTCGAAGTCGGAGACGAAGCCGTACTTGTACTCCCGCTTGAGCAGGTTCTGCAGCGCCTCGGCCTCGTCCGCCGCCGGGGACGACGGCGAGGGCGACGGCGACGGCTTCTGCGGGCCCGTCTGCACGGCCACCACCGAGAGGCGGCCGCGGCCGCGCGCGTCGACGCGCCGGCGCGGCCCGCCGGACGGGCGCCCCGCCCCGAGCCTGGCGGTGAGGGCGCAGGGCCC